TCTCCACTCCTAACAATTTTCCTTATTGAAGTTCATGTAACATTTTGTTCTCTGCCTCCTTAATTCACTTTTCACCTCATAGTGTGCATTCTCTCTCTCTCTCTCTCTCTCTCTCTCTCTCTCTCTCTCTCTCTCTCCTCTCTTCTCTCTCTTCTCTTCTCTCTTCTCTTCTCTCTCTTTCTCTCTCTCTCTTCTCTCTCTCTCTCTCTCTCTCTCTCTCTCTCTCTCTCTCTCTCTCTCTCTCTCTCTCTCTTCCTCCCTCTTTCTCTCTTCTCTTCTCTCTCTCTCTTCTCTCTCTCTCTCTTTCTCTCTCTCCCCTCTCTCTCTCTCTTCTCTCTTCCTCTCTCTCTTGTCTCTCTCTCTTCTCTCTCTCTCTCTCTTCTCTCTCTCTCTCTCTCTCTCTCTCTTCTCTCTCTCTCTTCTCTCTCTCTCTCTCTCTCTCTCTCTCTCTCTCTTCTCTCTCTCTCTCTCTCTGTCTCTCCCCTCTCCCTCCTCCTCCCCCCCTCTTCCCCTCTCTCTGCTTCCCCCTTTCCTCCCTAGATTGAAAACTTCATGAGGACAGCAACCATAGCTTATCTAAGCCTTCTCTCTTCCTCAATGCCTTCCTTACTTTAGTATTCTTTATATAGAAACCATCAATACTAGTCATTCCATTAAAAGAACTTAGAGGGGATAGATGTCCTTCTAGATCACCCAACTGAACCTCCTCACTTTACATGTGAAGAAGCTTTTAGGGGATGATAGACTCTCCATATTCTGCTCTTGTCAGACTGAATTTAGAGTACTGCGTTTAGTTCTGGGGGCTATACTCTAGGAAGGACAATGGTAAAGTAGACAGTACTTGGAGGAGGACACCCATCATTGCAGAATGGGGTTGAAGTAACTATGGATGTTTGGTTTGGAAATGAGAAGACTTGGGATGGGTCCCGATAGTTCTGTGAAAGTATTTCAAGGGCTGTCATATGATTGAAGACTTAGATTTTTTCAGAGGGCAGACTCAGAAGCAGTGGAGGTCATAAGTTAAAGATTTTTAAATGTGAGCTGTCTGAAAGCAGATTGGGCTTCTTTGGAAGGTAGAGGACTCCCCATCATATGAGAGCTTAGAGCCAAGGATGGATGACTCTTTGTCAGCTACATCGTGGAGGGGGCCTCTTTTTCAGATATGTTTGGATTCAGTGGCCACTGAGGTTTTGGCCAACTCTGAAATTCTGGGATTCTGTGAAAGTGGAGGTCACACAGATAGTGATGAAGCTGGGATTCAAGCCCAGGCTCTCAGACTCCATGTCCAGGGCTCCTTCCACTACTCCCTTTAAGGAAAGCAGCAAAAATCCCAATCTATTAGACTGTGAGCTCCTTAAATGCAGGGACTCTTTTTTGTCTCTTTTTGTATCCTTAGAGCTTAGCACAGTGTCTGGTACATAACAAGGTACTTAATTCATGCCTGGTGACTTGGTTATCTCAGCTGATGATGAGAAGGAATTTGGGAAAATTCAGAAAGCTATCTTTGATTAAAATCCTAAATCCCAAGTCATTGGGAACTTCCTTCTAACCATGATAAAGAATACTTGTTTGACTTCAGTGGCCAACATTATCTTTGTTGGAGAGTCACTCTAATATATTTCCTTTAAAGTTGGGCACCAGACAGGATGCCCCTATCGTCAGTGCAACTTAATATAGTTCTAGAAATGTTGGCAATAGTGACTCATAATGAAAAAAAGGAGAAGAGATAAAAATGTATGTATTTTTTTGCAGATGACATGATTGTATATCTAGAAATCCAAGGAAACCAACCAAAAAATTACTAGAGGTAATAAATGAGCCCCATAAAGGTACAGGATATGAGATAAATCCACAAAAATCAATTGCATTTCTATATCCTCATGACACCCAGCTAGAATATACAGTGAAAAAAGACATGGCGTCACAATCCTGACACAAAACATTAAATGCTTGGGGAGTAATTCAATTTGGGACATAAAAGATTTATTCAAAGAAATGCAAAAAGCCCTGATGGGAGAGATAAAGGAAGACAGGGAGAAATGAAGATATAAAAACCTTGCTTCTGGCTGAGAAGATGGCGCCAGTCCCTAAATTAATATTGAGACTTAATATAGTAGCAATTAAAGTCCCCGTGGGATATTGGATAGAACTTGACAAAGCACATTTTTCAAACATATCATAGAGCAGGACTGATCACAACCACATGCATTTGGGTGAAAACCAGAAGAACTAATCAATGTAGTTGAAGAAAGAATCAAGAAATGAAACCGTAACTAACATTAATATACAACTAACATTATAATAATAGCTCCTACTTCTATAATCATTTCCAGGTTAACAACACCACAACCCTAGAAGGTAGGTGGTACAAGGATTTTTATCTGTGTATTAGGGAGAAGGAAACTGAGGTTCAGAAAAGTAGAGTGACTTGTCCAAGGTCACACAGCTACTAAGTTTTAGAGCTGGGATTCAAACCTTGTCCCTCCTCACTTCAAGGCTAGTACTCTTTCTGGTTCTCTATTAAGAACTTTCTCATTCTAAGTCTAGCCCTCTTTCTAGTACACTACCGAGAACTTAGGTTAGGACAAAACAAAATTAATTTTTGGAAAAGAGTCACTAGGGGATGCTCTTAGGTCAATTGGATAGCAATGTAGGAAAAATTAATTTGGATTTAGATTAATTCATTATATTCATTCAGTAGCATCTGACTTTTCACGACCTCATTTGGGGTTTTCTCTGGCAGAGATATCCACGTGGTTTGCCATTTCTTTCTCCAGCTCATTTAACAGATGAGGAAACAGGGTTAAGTCACTTGCCCAGGGTCACACAGCTAGTAAGTGTCTGAGGCTTGATTTGAACTCAGGAAGACGAGTCTTTCTGATTCCAGGCCAGCACTCTATCCACTGTGCCATTATGTCATGTATCAAATTCCAAATGGGTTGGTCAACTGTAAACAAACAAAACCCCAGGAAAAAATCTAGAAGAAACCAGAATAGTATTTATTATAACGGTGGGGGTCCTCCCCCCCCCGTGTAGTTGAATATAGAAGGCCCAGACATCTCAACTGAATTTGAGGTATGAACTAGGTGTGAATAAGGCCTAGACCTTCACTGAATTATGAAACAAAAGTGTAAACTATGTGTGATAGGCTATAGCATTTGGTTGAAGAGTTGATTGTCATAGCCATAGGACTTAGATATAATCAGTCAGCTACAAAGTGCAGGGATAGTGGTTTCTAGCTGTCTCTTGGGAGAAGTCCCCCTCCCTTGGATTTTGGCACCCTGGATCAAGTGTCTGATCACCCTGCCTTAGTGATTTTCTTTTCCTTATCTCAAGGTGAATCATCCAAAGTTCATACTTCCTGCACCAGGGTCAAGGGATGCTTATGTTATGTATTCAAGAACAGACATCCTCAGGTTCAGAACCTCTGTCAGATTTTCTGTTTATATTCTTGAAAAATAGACTTCTTGTCTGTGTCCACCTTTTAAAGCAAACTGAAGCTCTCTTGTTGGAGACTTGCTGAAAAAAAAAGAAGACTCACTCAACCCTTTGGTATAAAGAGTTGGCAAGCCATGCTTACCTCTGCAATGAAACAAACTGTTGGAAATTTTCCTTGACTCCAGTCAAATAAATATGAAGCAATTTTATTAAGGAGTCATGGAGACATTGGCGCAGAGGGAATTTGAAGCCAAATGAAGATTTTGCACGTTGTGATGGGATTGGGGGCAGGGAAGGGGAATAGAAGCCCAGTGTTATCCCACATGCCCTCGCCATATTTCTTTTAGTGGTAGCATTTCTAATAAAGAATAAAGCTTTTCTGGAATGCACTCATTTAAATTTGACAGCCTCGGCTGTTCTAGGGGAGATATTTGAAGTGTGGAGGACACACACAATAGAAGAGGAATGTGCAGTAGGAAGATACATAAATTTTACTGGTTAAAATGCATTCTGAGGCACTTGGTAGACAAAGATACTTTCTTCTTGGTTTTAAGCAAAAGTTGGAGAGTTTTGAAGACTTTTTTTTTTCATTTTGGATTTGTGCCAGTAGCTCCCAAATCTTGATATGTGTTGAGTAAGTGGCAGTGGGGGAGATTTGGTTTCTTGTAGCAAGGGACAAAGCCAGTACAAGACGGGAAAGAATGCTGTCATAGAGTCAGAGGTCCTGGATTCAAATCCCACCTCTCACATTTACTAATTCTGTGACACTGTGCACTTAATTGCGATTTCCCTAGCCCTCACTTCCTCATCTGTACCTCATCTGAGGTACGATCTATAATCTTTTGGTCATAGATCTGAGATATGTGATCTGTAATCTATGATCTAAATACTCTTAACAGTTTTAGAGATCTGTGCTCTCACTCTCCAGATGCTTATTGCAATCCATCCACACCTGTCCATCCTGTGTGACTTTTGCTTACACAGTTAGTGAGTGTCAAAGGTGGGATCTGCACCTGGATTTCATTGACTCCATGGTCAGCACTCTATTTCAAGTTTTATCTGGCTCTCAGATCCTACACAGAATAACCTCCCTTTCTTATTCTTCCTTTCAATCAGAAGTTCAATGGAAATTATGATGACCAAGTTCCCACCTTTAGTTTTGTCTGGGTGGCTGGAGAGAAAGGTTCTAGCCTCCAAAATTCCTAATTCTCATGAAATAATTGTCACACATATATTCACAGGATCATAATCTTAAGTAGATGGGACTTTGAGTATATCTAGGGCAATTCCCACTCATTTTAAAAATGAGGAGAATGAGACCCATTGAGGAAATGCATCTTGCCCAAGGTCACACGTGTAGTAAGCAGTGGAGTAGAGACTCATATGCAGGCGCTCTCTCTCCTCTACCTCACAGCCAGTTTTTGAGGTTGAGATGCCCCAGACCTTGAGAGGTCCCTGATACTGAGATATCCCAGGACTGTTCCCTTTTCTCTTTTCTTACTTTATGCCAACTAACTGAAAGATTTCATCCTTAGTAAATATATTGTCTTTTTCCATTTTAGGTTACCACTTTGGTGAATTGTCCCCAGAATATTTCAAATAGGAAAAAGGGACGTTCGAAAAGAGCCCGGGTTCTTCTTGCTTCTGTTGAAGAAGCCACATGGAATTTACTGGACAAGGGGGAGAAGATTGCCAGTGAGGCCACGGTACTAAAGGAAGAGCTCACGGCAGCCCTGCAGGAAGTGTGCAAAGAAAGTAAGTCCTGAGGCCATTGTCCTCATCCGATTGTGGGGAGATATCCAGGGTGGGAATCAGAGGAGTAGAGCTTTGGTTGGTCTGGTTTGTCCTAAGAGTTGTAGGTAAGACGTTCTGGGACATCCTCTGAGGGAGGCAGAGGTGCTTCTTTCACCAAGTAAATGTTTAATATCTTTAAGGCCCCAAGTTCTTACCTTGGCTCAGCCGTTTAGGTGCAAAGTACCCCCCAACCTGGGCCAGCTAGGTGGCTCAGGGAATAGCAAATTATTAATTTATTTAATTGATAACACTAATAATAGTACCAATTCATTTCTCAGAGCTGTTGTGACAAATGACTTTGTAATGAAAACAAAGACCAAAGTGCTGTGTGTACGTCACGTGCTTAATCAATGTTGAACTTTTGGTCTGGAGAAAAGGATATTTCCTTTTGTACTTTAGGGGACAGGTGGTCTCATCACTGTGGCCATGTTTTCCAAGTTGACAAAGTCAACAAGCATTTATTAAGCATCTATGGTGTGCCAGGTACCATGATAAACACTGAAGACACAATGAAAGGTAAAAAAGATAGTGCCTGCCCTCAAGGAACTTATAGTCTAATGGGGAAGACAGCATGCAAACGGTATGTACCTATACACTGTCTACTGACCCAGGACTTGTTATCCTGGAAGATCATTTTCCATGTACTTCCATAAATCTTCTGTAGAGGATGTGTCCAGTTCATTGGGGACTTTCCCCCAATGTCTTTTGTTATTTTATGGATACCAAAATGTGATACATTGTTTTTGGAGCATAATTGGCCCAGCCCCCTTTCTGGTCATTCATGTCATGGAAGATGCCTTTGAAATGACTTCTTGTCTTCTGTTAGGAGGGCATTCATGCTTAGAATACATTTGTGAATTGACTTTTGGCTTGTTATATCTGCTTAGGAAACAGATGAGAATGATATTGATAACTAGAGAAAATATGATCTATTAATTGGTATGAGTGATAACGCACCATATTGGGTGGAGAACTAGCTGGTGTGACCCTGGGCAAGTCACTTAATCTCCCAGTACTTCCAGGAAACTCCCTAAGACTGGAAATTGCAGAGAAAATGCCAACCTGCATTGGCAAAGGGAGTTTCCTCACCGTGAGCTCTGCCTATCAGTGAAATCACAATCCAGTCCAAAGATAGCAAACAATCTCCCTTAATACCAGTGACTTCCCTCTACTGATTGTCCCCAGTTTGTCCAGTTTATGTTTTGTTTGTCCATAGTTGTGTGCATGTTGTCATGCTTTCTCCTCTATTAGAGATCCTTTCAGAGCAAGGACTGTTTTTTGCCCCCCATTGTATCACCAGGGCCTGACACATAGCATGTATTTGATAAATACTTGTTGACTGGCCAACTGACTGTATGCTTTTTAAGTGTTGATTATTATAATTATTGTTTTTAGGACATGTTGTTCCTCATATGTAATTTCTCTGGTCCTCATTTTTCCCATCTTTCAGATGGGGATGATAATGTCTCTAGTACTTGTCTCACAGGCTTTTTGTGAGGATCAGAGGAAATAAGGCATGTAGGGGAGCTTTGTAAACCATCAAATACTACATAAAACAGCTACTATTTACTCTGTTATTTACATAATGTTGAATCCTGCACATCGGATATTAGAGCCCCAGGACAATATAGAGGTCATAGAATGAATTCCATCCTTCTTTTCCCAGAGGGCTGATGGTCTTAAGAGGACAAGAAACTTGCTCCATGCTACATTGATAATGAGTAAAAATATTGGGATTAGAACCTGGATTCTCTAACTCCGATGCCAGTGGGTTTTCCTATTCTACCCATAGTCAGCAATGAAATCCTTACAAATAACTTAGTTCCTGGGTGGACAGCGATGCTGTTATTGGCTGCCTTCCATATGCTACTGGTATGATGATCATATACTCATCTTGTGAGTTTCCAGTTTTCTTTTTCAGTTAATGTTTACTAGGGATTAGCTTCCATTGACCTCTTCAGTCAGCTAGTCAATCTGTCAGTCAGTTAATAAGCATTTATCAAGCACCCAGCAGGTGTCATTCCAGAGGAAAATAAGTTGTTTTCTTCTTGTCCCAAATTCCTTCCAATCTCTGCCTTTGCTTGAGGTCGCTTGTGTAAGATTGTCCCAGGAGCTCTCATGGGGGGCACTGCTCTGTTTATGTCTAGTCTAGTCTTCCCTTGGATTCTGAATCCCCTCTGGCAGGCCATCCAGCACCTAGTGTATTGGTCCTGCCAGCAGCCCCCAGGGGTCTTCTTGACTGTGTTCACCATATACGCAGGAATCTGGAAGCTGGGGTCTTTGGTGATGGCTGGCTGGTTGTGCTGCCTATTATGGGTTTGCTTCTGGCTGTAGCCACCAGCACGGGAGGCTGCTGAATGGCATCTGCTGCTGTGAATCCTTCCCCCTAACCTCACATCACCCCTAGATGCCTAGCACAGTGATTGGCATATGTAGGCTTTGGGGACTCTATTCATTTTTGTCCTTGTATCAGCAATGCCCTCTAGTTGTTCTTCAGTTGTTTCAGCCGCATCTGACTCTTTGCAACCCCATTTGGGGTTTTCCTGTCAAAGATACTGGAATGATTTGCCATTTCCTTCTACAACTCATTTTAGAGATAAGGAAACTGAGGTAAACAAGGTTAAGTGACTTGCCCAGGGTCACACAGTTGATGAGCCAGATTTGAACTTGGGAAGATGAATCTTCCTCACTTCAGTCTTGGCACTTTATCCACTCTACCTAGCCATGTGTAGGGACTTAGTAAGGGCTTGGTGGATTACATTGGAGAAGGGTGTGAGTAACGATTGGAGGGGCAAACCTGGCACTAGATTGGGCATGAGAGGGGTGCTGCTTAGTGAATTAAAATGAAAAAAAAAAGGGATCATTCTCGCAGTTAATTACTTTTAAAAGATATTCTAGAAACACAGGCTGTCCAGTGGGAGTCCTAGATCACCCACCCTCTCTTTCCAGTGAGTTTTACACAAACCCCTCACACCCAGCATGCATTCTGCAAAGATGACAGAGGGTCTTCTGTAGTGAGCAAGATGCAAGGGCTCATCTTCTGCTCCTTCTTGACTCGCTGCCCAGTTAAACTGCAGGCACTCCAGTGTGGGAGGGAAGCGGGCAAACGGCCCCAAGTCCTGGAATGTGGAGCCAGGCCAGTGTTTATGCCTGTGGATAGCAGAGCAAGAGGGAGCAAGAGCTGAGGGGAGATTATGGGGGTGGTCCCAGGGGTGGGGGAAAGGACTAAAAAAATTCAGACAGTTATGTGTTAATGCTGGCTGGCCAAGACCTTGCTTTCTTTCTTTTTTTTTAAATAAGTTTTTATTGATATTTTCTGTATCATCATAAGTATCTCCCAGAGAGACATCCCATATAACAAATTATACACACACACACACACACACACACACACACACACACAGAAGATTGGGATAAATGACTTGCCTAGGGTCACATAGCATATAAGTGTCTGAGGCTGGATTTGAACTCATGTACTTCTGACTCCAGTACCCGTGCTGTATCCACTGAACCACTTAGCTGCCTTAATGTTTTTTTTAAAGAGGAAAAGAATTTTAACACAAATGATCAATACATTGAAGAAGTCTGAAGACATGTTTAATGTATAACACCTGTGGACCTCTCACTTTCTCATTTCTCTTCATTTACCTGATTGGTATTTAGAATTACAATTTATAATTTTGTTACATTAACTATTTCTTTTTGGTATGTAGTTTTCCATTTATGCTGTGTAGCCATTGGATATGTTGTTTCTGGGCTGTGTCACTCTTCATCAGTGCATGTAGATCTTTCGATGCTTCCCTGTATCTACCACACACTTCATTTCCTAGAGCACAGTACTATTCCATTACATTCATGTACCACAACTAATTTAGTCATTCCCCAATGGATGGGCATCCACTTTATTTCTAATTCTTTGCTATTCCCAAAAGTGTTGCCATAAATATTTTGGTGTATATGGAGACTTCTTTCTTACCAATAGTTTTCTTGGGTGCCAAGTCCTTTCAAGCTTTCGTTGCTTCAGTTTCTTTGGTCCTAAGGTGGACTCTGGCTATGAGCCTGGTGTGAAGGGGAGAGATTTATTATTATTAACAACAATAATAGGGACAGCTAAGTGGCACAGTGGATAGAGCACCAGCCCTGGAGTCAGGAGGACCTGAATTCAAATCTGGCCTCAGACACAAAACACTTACTAGCTGTGTGACCCTGGGCAAGTCACTTAACCCCATTGCCTAGCCAAAAAATAAAAAACAAACAAACAATAATAGCCAGAATTTATATAATCCTTTAGAGTTTGCAAAGAATCTTATATAGGATATCTCATTTCATCTTTACAGCAATCCTGTAAGATAGGTACTATTTTTACTCCCATTTTACAAATGAAGAAACTGAAGCAGGGAGAAGTTGAATGATTTCCCCAGAATCACTCAGCTAGTGAGTATCTGAGGCAGATTTTGAACTCAGACTTTTCCTGATTCCAATTCTAGTGCTCTATCTGCTATGCTCCTTGAGATCAGGGACTGGGATTCCCCCCCCCCCTTCTTTGTATTAGAATAGTGTCTGGTATATATGAAGTACTCAAGAGAGGTTTTTTGATTAACTGGTGAACTGACCTATTGGCCTCTAGACCAAGGGTTCTTAACTTTTTCTGCATCAGCAGTCTAGGGAAACCTGTGGACCTCTTGTTAGGATAATATTTTTAAATAAATAAAATAAAATACAAAGGATTGCAAAGGAGATAAATTATATTGAAATACAGTTATCAAAATATTAACAAAACCAATTCACAGTTCCCCTTGGTTTGGACCTAGATGCAGCTGGGTGGCATAGTGGATAGAGTAATGGGCCTGGAGTCAGGAAGACCTGAGTTCAGATGTGACCTCAGATACTAATTTTGTGACTCTGAGCAAGTTATTTAACCTCTGTCTGCCTCAGTTTCCTCAATTATAAAATGGGGGTGA